TGTGACTTTTCTTTTATCTCATGCATGTTTTAACTTGCTTTTCGCATGCTTCGCACTTCATTGCTTCTGTAGCATGGGCTCGAACGAGCAGACAACGCATTTGTTTTTGACCCACCCTCCGCACCCAAGTTTATGCATCCAAGCGCGCATCGCTTGAAGCGCATCTCACTAGGCACGCATTGCCACGCACTGCATGCAACTTCACACATCGCATTTGTTGTTTCACGCATCGCATTTGCACAACAGTTAGAGTTTCACCTGGGGTTTTACGTTCTCCAACCGCATCGAACATTTCCCGTGCAACTCATGCCAAAAAAGGAGTGTCCGTGCTTTTCGTAGTGAGAGCCATGCGCAAGAAGCAATGTTTGAACAAGCCTTCAAGCCCCCCTTCAAGCCCCCCTTGAAGCCCCCTTGAAGCCCCCCTTCAAGCCCCCCTTCAAGCCCTCAAGCCCCCCTTCAAGCCCCCCTTCAAGCCCCTTCAAGCCCCCCTTCAAGCCCCCCTTAGCCCCCTTCAAGCCCCCCTTGAAGCATTCGACCCTTCCCCCCCCCCTTTTCCCCAGAGGCCCCCCCCTTCTTCAAGCCCTCCTTCAAGCCCCCCTTCAAGCCCCCCTTCGCCGAAGGGTGACGGGACCAGCCTCGTCTCAATCTTAAGCAGGTGCGTGGTTGGACGGATGGCTTGACTCGAAACCTTACTTTACCCTGTGAATGTGGTTTGGCCTGTGGGCTTCAGCTAGTCGCCTTGCATTGTGCAAGCGAACTCAATTGGATGCTCAAGATTGGTGTGTCGGGGACTTGGAGCGTAGCTTGTCGCTGCTCCAGCCCAGCTTACAGTTTAGGAGATCGCAGTCGCAACAGCGCGGTTCTGCCCGCCGCGTCTCCATGAGCGATGTCCTTTTTGCAGCTACGCCAAAGCCGGTCAATCTTGATGTGTGGAGCCTGCTGCCACAGCAATCTGTGTCGAGCCTGCAAAAAGCCGCCTCCCATCCTTTCCCACCGCTGACGCCTGCAGCGGCCGTGGCTGCCTGTGTCCGATCAGGGGTGTTCCTTGACGGTGCAGCCTCAGATTTTGAACTCTGCGCAGCCCCCATCACCTCGCACGGAAGTTGAGTTGAAGTTTCCTTTTGATTTTATTACCGCCCCAAAAGTCGCGCCCCACGATAATTTGGCGAAACCGAAGAACTTTATCTCCTTCGCCAAAGTTTCGGAAAGGAATCCGTCTTAATTTGCTTGCTATGATTTAAACCCGCAAAATACCGATTAGACAAAATTTTGTCTCGAAGAGTCGACTGATAGTCAGAAAATTGTCCAACCCGGTCCATTGGGTGCAGTCGTCCGGCCTACTTCTGCGAGTGTTGGCGCACCCGCGTTCCCCTAAGCGGATCCCCTGTCAGATTCAGAGCTTGACCCATTTCTACAGAATGTCCGTGCGTGGCTTGAGGTCTACTCGGATCCTGTGTGGAATCATTGCCTGTACTTCCCACATGGCCAGTCTTCTGCGTCTCGTCAGAATTCTTGCTAAGGTCTGCGACGCTCTGCGGTGGTGTGCGTCTAGGGATTGGCTGCGCCTTTGAAACCTTGTCCAGTCATGGCGCCTGGACTCTTTCCTGATGAGACTTTCCGTCCATGGAACGTTGCACACCTGCCTCCCAGTCAGCTTTGTCATCCAGTCCTGATGTTGTGGACACTCTGTTGGACGAATCAAAGCGTAAGGGCTGGATTGCTAAGGTCCGAGAGGGAATTGCGACTCTGAAGGCACTTGTCCAACCCCCTGGTCCGGCACCAAGGCTAGTGGTTGATAGCTCCATCTCTGGTGTGACGGAAAACACCACTTTGCCTAATTGTTCTCTGCAGCCCCACTCTGCCCTGCCTGCCCGTGGGTACCTCGCAGGAAGACGTGTCTGCTCTGCTCTAAGAAGGCTCACTGCGGATCGTTGAGTGTGGGCAAAGTTTGCGAGAGAACGGCTTTATGGGCAATTGGCAACCGCGCCGTCGAAACTTGCTGGAAGAGCTGCTTCTACACTTCGTGCAGGATACGTTCGACGATAACTGCTGTTCTTGGGGTTTTTGGACCTTGTCAAGCAGTAATTGTTGGCATGTTTGAGTCCATGGTGTGACAACAGCTCAGATCTGGAAACGACACCGTTTGAAATAACACGCCGTGAAGAAATCAAAGCTGTAGATCATCGCGCTAAGTGCAACCTTTGGAGTTTTGTTCTTCATTATTTAATCATAATGTGGTTACCGCGTGAGAGCTTGCATCCTATAGTGTGACCTCAAAGCAGAATTTACTCTCTTAGAGGTCGCGTCCGTCAATGTGCCAAAGTACTTTCAAAAAATATGTTTCAACTTTTTGGAAACCTGCGCTGCTGGTACCATCATCGTTCTCTGAAGACTCGCGCTGAGCGCCGTAAGCCAGTTTTTGCAGCGTCCCCTCTGGTGTGCTTGGCTGAGAGCGCGCGGGCAAACTCAAATCTGCCCGCCCCCCCCCCCCAAAAAAAACACCCCAATGATGCTGACGATGCAGGCCCCCTGGGCCAGCATCAGCATCATTGCGTGTCTGCTTCTCCATTCTGACGTCCCCCATTCCCCATTGAAAGTTGCAAGTCGCAGCTCCGACCCAAGACAGACTTTGGGTCTAGTTTCCAAAGGCCCAACGATCCTTTTGTGGTGGGGGGAGGCTTCAGGAGCTTGTGTGGATTCCAGGCTGCCTTGGGAAAAGGGTTATGTGGGGGCCCCTTGGAGAAGCGGAGGTCTAATGATGCAGGGTCACGCTGTGGCCACTTCACTTAGCAAAACTATGGCTACACCTAGGTTCACCATGACGGAAACAATATTGTTTTACGGCATTCGATGGCATGACCACTTGTTTATGGTTGTTGCACATGTATGGCGTTCATTGTCAATGCAAGGTGCATCCAGGTGATAACATTTTTTGATGACTTGCTTGTCGCTTGTCGGGTGCGTCACATCTTTCCATGACATACTTCCGTGACACGTGGATTTTCTTTTGTCATGCATGTTTTAACATGTCTTTCGCGTTGCTTGGCGTGTCACGCATGTTTTCTTGGCCTCTAGTGTGGGATCAAACAAGCGAACGCATTCTGTCAGCCTACGCACATTCCCAAGCATCTCGTGCCAAAAGGAGTGCTACCAGTTCTTGTTGCAGTGCATTGATCACACGCGTAAGGAACATGCGTCATGCTTGGAACATATTTTTGCCTGGTTTGTTCTGGCCTTCATCCAATGTCTTGTGAATTTTCGGCAGAATGTTTGTGTTGATTGTCATTCAATGTTTTTTTGTCGAAGAATACCTGGGACTCCGGTATCATTCGTTTGCGAGCACATTTGAAAGATTGAGGTTGGCAAAGATGTTTCATGATAACGTTATAGTGTGATATGGTTGATAGTTTCATATGTTGGTTTGTACAGTTGGAACTGGTGCATCATGTACGGCTTGTAGCCCAAAATCAGAACATGGATATTTGTAGTTAGCGCGGTCTGCCTTTGCCTGTCGGGGCAACATTTGAAATACGTTTGATGGTCATGGTCTCAGCGGTTTTTTTCCTGGCTGTGCTGCATGTGGAGCGTTCGTTGAGGCATGGCTGCAACCCTGCGAGATTGCAGGACTGTTTGCTTAGTTGCAAGATGTAGTGGAAACTCTTTCCATCATGCTGGATTTACAGGACAAAGCGATATTGTGAATTGTTCTTTGCCTGGTGAGGCTGGTTGCTGTTGCAGTCGCAGAAAACACATAGTTTCCTCAATTTTTGTTGGCCATGTGTGTTCCCGTGGTGGCTAGGTTTGGGGTTTGAGGTATACCATGTTTCCCCCAAGGTTCTTTGCTGCAGCGCTGGCAAGCAGCTCAGTCATGCAGGTGCAGCGCAAACATGGCCACATGTTTGCACGCGGTATCAGCTTTGCAGTGGCTAAATTTTCGGACCAGCTAGCGTATGATTTCTTATCAGCGCTAGCTTCAACAAGTTTCACATGGAGAAATTGTCCCATGACAGACATGCGGCATGCCAACCATATTATAACAGAAGCTGCAGAGTCCGTGCTGCTGGTCCCGTGGTTTAGGTCAACCCGAACCACAGCAAGATGCTTCGGATAGACCTCAGGCAAATCACTAGTCTGGTTGAATTCTGCCGGATGTGCTTGATGATGGTACAGCAGTGTGAGGCTGCGGCTGTGATTCTGCAGGAGCGAACTGCTATGATCCTTGGCTTTGGCCCCAAAGGAAGCTTCCAGCAACTTGGTGTGCGGGAATTGGCCTCCTGCAGGCATGAATCCACGGACACTTCGTGCGAAGCGACGGTGGTCTTTGTTTATGTGGCAACAGCAGCGACATTGGGCCCTTGTGCAGACCTCGTTGGCTTGGAGTTAGCAGCTAGCACCAAAAAGTGAATTCATCCTGCGCCTAACAAAGGTTCTCCAGCCTGTTGGAGAGGCTTTCATGGCCAGGATCGTCGATGATTTCGCCACCTGCTTGGAAGATTTTGTCCGACATCGTTTTGCTGTTTGATTGGCATCACTCCTCCAACCTGTAAGGTTCACAACGCACAGAGCTGTTTTTCGATGGAGGTGCTACCGGGAGTATGTGTTAGCGGTCCAGGGCCTCGAAGGTTAACTTCGGCAGTTCGCCAGGTACCCGCCTCCCAGGTATTCTTGGTCTACGAGTGACTTGTTCTGATATTCCAATGCGGTCCATGTTTAGCGTTTTTCAGTTGCAAGTTCAATTGGTTAGAGTGCTGCGTTTGAACATCCCTGCTGTGCATGACAAGCAACTTCCAATTCACTTTCTCTGCCTAGGTTGCTGTTGGACCGCGCAGAGCCCTTTCTCATGCTGAGCATCTCGCTTGAAGCATGCCTTTGGCATGATGATCAGCACATACACGACACGATCTCATGACATCTTTTGCGGGCTTGAACCCCATCAGGCGTGAAGCCCGACTTCCAGACTGATCGGAAGAACGTCACCAGCTTTGCAAGCAGATTTGTGCTGTCAGCGCTTGGGCATGTTTGAGATTCTGTGTGGTGACGTTACTGAGGTGCTCAGGCTCGGGCTGAGCCAACGCCTAAATCTGCTGGAGATACAGGCTCATGCACTTCAGGCTTTTGGTCGTTACAAGCCGTTGCCTGAGACGCGGCTACAAAACTGAGGATCTACTTTTGAATTTAGCTGTTCATCGTAGGCTTCTCAGGTGCTACAGCTTCATTGGGGCCAACTGCCAGCACTTTGCGACTGACTTCGCAAAGGGGCTCGGTGCCCTCACAAGGACATTAACTGCTCATGGGATGCTTCCTGCAGATTTTTGATCCTGACATGCCCAGATGTGGGTATTGTGGCATCCGCCTGAAGTGGTGTGTGTCGAAAGCCTTTCCAACTTTTCGTTGGTTCTACTCAGAGGCACAAAGCAAAATGAGGAATTTCATTTTGGTCAAGGGCCGCAGAAGTGCAGCAGTTCCCATCTACAGTTTCGTGGCAGGTGAGCTCTTGCTGGCCAACTTTTTGTCCTGAAAAATGCTGCAGAGCCGAGTTTTGCTCCAACTGCATTGAAGCACTCAAAATCGGAGAAAGGTCCTTACGATTTTTCATCCTCCTTCCTTAGGAATCAGAACTTTGGCATGCATTCTGTACAAAGGTGATGTGATAGGAGCCAAGTGCAGAAAGGTTGGAGAGCAAGCGCTCGTCTGGATGAGGGCGCAGAGGGGACAGTTTGGCCGAGGGAATGGGGGAGCGTGTGCACGCCACGCGGGTCAGGATGGCCATCTTTGATATGGTGCTGTGTTGTGTCTCGTATGTAGCTGCCAAGAGCTTGAGTCGAAGCCTGCAGAAGGGACGCTTTCTTTGGTTGGGTCCCAGGGTTTCAGAGTACAGTTCTTCTGGATTTTAGGATACTGTAGAGAATTCAGAGTGTTGAGCTGTTGTTTGTTCCTGGCCATCGCATCCTCAACAGCAGTGCAGCCTCCAGCATGCGTCTGAGTTTCCATGCCCATCCAGGATCAATCCTGACGATGAAACGATTGCATTGGCAGCAACGGACACGGCTTTGCCAGTGGGGGTTCTCCGCCAAGCCTTATTTTCAGCTTTCCAGGTGGTCTCATTGGTACTATCATCTGATGTCCTCAGGTTGTGGGTGCATGCGTGGCTGCTACTGCAGCAGTGGGTGCTGCAACTGCTTCACAAGCAAGCTGCGCACCAGCGCTGACCTCAGACAACCAAAGCGAAGCTCCTGAACAGCAGCAAACCTGTCCTTGCTCGCGACATGCTGGTGGGTTGCCAGCTTTTTCCGCATCTTGACCTGTGGGCCCAGGTCCTGAATGTAGTGGCCGCATCAGCTTCGGCAGTTAGCCTCTTTGGTTGCGCTGCATTAGCTGGGGTGACCCTGGCCGGTTGGATGCTCTGCGTCTTGCGTCCGCTTGCATCCTTTCAACTCTTGGTTTGCCAGGTAGCTGGAATGTACAAACTGCTGCATGATCAGCTACACGCTCGGCGATGTGTTTTGTGGATTTTCCCAGCGCAATGGTCAGCAAACCTGTGCAGAGTCAGCTTTGCGTGCTTGTGTCACGAGTCACTGCTCATGGGTGAGGAACCGCCAGGGCAGCCCCGTAGCAGGAGGTCGCAGCATTTGATTGGCTTTAGCTGAGCTGAGAAGCAGCTGGCATGTATGCAGGAGGACAGATGATTTTCGCGCAGTCGGCCTCAATGTGTTTGTCCATCGATGGCCAAAAGCTACTGTCCAAATCTATGCCGTGCTTGTTTCCAGGTTGCATTCATGTTGCACTTGCAAAGCTAAACTTGAACCACACTGCATGTTGATTGAGTAGTTCACAGAAATGTGTAGCCGCGGCAACCCGAGTCATTTGGGTGAATTGTTAGTCAGCTGTGTATGTACAACTCGCAGTGTGTTCTCAGGCGCCGCTTGGAGACAAGCTCCGACACTGAAGACGAGGAACTGCAGGAGCTTGACAGGCCGGTATACCTGCAGATACTCAACAGCTGTTCAGCTCATGCAAAAGTCTGCAGAAGTACAGTTGAACCAAGAACAGCATCATGAAGAAGCGACGTCGAATCCCTTGACAGGTTTGCACCTGCTCCGCCACATCCATGGCTACAGTCAGCATTGTCTTGAGTGTGTAATAGGGCTGCAGAAGCAGACCTTGAAAATGTTGGAGACGAGCGGAATTTATTCAGGATCATGCAGGGGTTCCAGGTACAATCTAATTTGGGGTTGTTGTTCTCATTTCCGCTTGTCAGCTCTTGCTCAGAGAAGGAGTTTTGAGGTCGCCCTCAGTCACCTTCTACATATCCCCGGAACAGCACAGTAGGCGTGCAATTTCTTCTCGAGTGGTCCCCTTACTCGTTTCCCTAGTGTTACGTCGACCGGCATCAGGCCAGCGCCCTGCACTGGGCTCGCTTAAGTTGCACGCTTACAACGCTTGACAGGGCACGTGAACTTTTGAAATTCAGCCAACTTGCTGCCTTGATTGTGCCTGTTTTGGCCTGAATCGTTTAGATGGTTCGGGCTTGATTGCGCTTGCACGGCATGGATGGTAACCGGGTATTTCTGCTCACGGGAGATCACATCCTGTTGGCAGCCTCAGGGTTCCAAGTCTTTGCAATGTGTGTGTCTTGAGGAGGAAAATGGGGAGAAAGGATTAGTTCCAAACCAGCTTGAGGTCTGATGTCAGATTCTGAGTATCAATCGGTGCGGAGATAAAGGCAGGCTCAGCAGTTCAGAAGGGAGCTTCCAAAAGTTGTTAAGTTGCCATGCCTGGAGTCATATGGTGAGTCCAGCGTATGATTCTGCAGAAGCCACCTCCTCGCCACTTCAGGTTGCAGGCCACATACCATCTCCCCGAGGCAAGCGCGATCCATTTAAGGTCTGTCTGGCATAGTTGAGATGCCGTTGTCAACTGCGGTCCATAGAGGCTGATTCTGGATGGACAGCTCGCAGGAGGCGCTGTTTTGAAATTAGCAGTCAAGACAGCCTCTGAATTTTTTTATGTACAGAAACTTTAAGTCTTTCACAGCAAAGACACGCCACTCTTTAGTGGACAGTTTTCCCCTAGGGTCGTCACTGCAGGTGGCAGTGACTGCAACTTGTCTGTTTCAGTTTCCACAAACACTGTCAGTCCAGCGAACCTCTTCCGTCACATCGCTTCTGGGCAGGTGTGCAGTTGGGAAATGTTTCTGGTTTCTGCAGAAGCTGTGGCTCTGTGCACCTTGATTGCAGAGGCCTCAAACGCAGCTCAGGATGACAGTTTCCTGTTAGCTACAGTGTACACCTTCAAACATGCCATGCCAACACAGGCTTCCACCTACATTTCAATGCACTGACCCATAAGCATGGGTGGCAATGGTCGAAGCCAAGGGGCAGAGTTCGTGTTGGCCGGCCTGGCAGCTTGCGGTGCTATTACTCTTACAAATCCAATCGATGTGGTCAAAACGCGTTTGCAACTGCAAGGCGAGCTTTCAAAAACCGGGCGTTCTGCAGAGAAAGCTTACACCGGGATTGGCCAGGCGCTGCTGCGCATTTCGCGGAGAGAAGGCCTGCAAGGCCTGCAGCGTGGCCTGATGGCAGCTTACCTTCTGCAATTCAGCAATGTGGGCTGCCGTTTTGGTGCGTACGGCTCTCTGAAAGAGCTTCTTGGTGTGAAGCCTGGCGCATCTGCAACAGACAGCTTGACTTCAATGCTCTTGGGTGCCGCTTCTGGTTCGCTGGCCGCAGTGGTGTCCAACCCCTTCTTTCTTCTGAAGTCGCGCTTTCAAGCCGCGGGAAGTGAAGATGTACTGCATCAGCATTCACATGTCTCTTTAAGGACCGGGGAGACATGCTGCAGCACGCGCTTCATTTTTCATTTCACCCCTGCAGAGGCAAGCCTTCGTGGAGATTGGGCAGGCCCAGGCGAGGCATGAGATGGGACTTTGCCATAGTCTGCAATGCGAAAGAAGCAAGGGCCCTCGTGGCTATTACCGCGGCCTCTCCGCCTTCGTGTGCCGAACTCAGGCCTGAGACGTCTTGCTCGCTTGAGAAGCACATCTCGAGGCCTCGGGTGGCTGCTGCAACTTCAGTGCCAGAGCAAAGATATTGTAAATGCCACATTTCTGCACGGGCAAAGAGGATCTGGTAGCATTGTGATTCTCGAGGTTCAGTTGTCCACCTATGATATCAGCAAGGACCTCATTCTCAGATGGGTCCAGGCAGGTTCTGCGCCGCGTTTTCGAAGTTTGCAGTGTAGCCCAGTACTGATCAAGGTCAAAGAAGGCGTTGCCACTCACTTCACTGCCAGCCTTCTGTTGCATTCCAAGTTTTCTTTGATCATCACAAGCAAGAGTGAAGCTTGGACCCAGGTTCCAGGTTTCTTGTTAAGCTTGTTGGGGCAAGCACAGCCTTCAAATTTGCCAAATTGCGACACTTTCAACTTTCAACAAATCAATGCATGGCATGACACCTTTCTATCTAGAAAACTTGATCTGCAGCAACCACTCATCCACCCATCCACCCGCCCAGCGTTGGAAAAAAGGTCGACTTGACTTGAACCGGCACTTAGTCAAAAGCCTTGAGGTCTGGCATTGCTGTCACTTTGGCCATGCAGCCCTTCGACATAGTGGCTGTGAGGTTGGCTGTCGCGAAAAGCACAGATTAATCCAGCCACGACATGGATATTTGGTGCTGCACTTGAAGCAGGTTGATGAACCAACCACACAAAGAGTGTGGTCGTGGAGTTCTTTACTCTGGTCCACTGGACTGCTTGAAGCAGATGCTGCATGCAGAGGGCCTGCGGGGATCTTGGACACTTCGGCCTGTACACAGCCGCACGTGTACTGCTTGCTGAGTCCCAGCCATTGCAGCTTCTCTTCCGCAAGCACTTCCGGCTCACATGCCATGAGGGCATCTGATCGCCTGTCTACTCTCTCGCGTCAAACCTTTCCCATGTCCAGCGCTCCGTGGTGCGTTACAGGCGGATCTGGTTTTCTGGGATCTTGGTGCGTGAAGCTGTTACTTGAGGAGGGGTACACTGTTCGAACAACAACACGAAGCGCTGCAAAAGCCTCATATCTGAAGAGTCTTCCTGGCTCTGAGCGGCTCGCGATCTTTGACGGGGTAGACTTGCTCACACCAGGATCTTTCGATGAAGCGATTCGGGGCTGCAGCTATGTTCTTCACACCGCGTCTCCCTTCTATATGAAAGGCGGGTCTGAAGAGAAGCTTGTCACACCAGCCGTGGAAGGAACGCGTAATGTTTTGAGCTCCTGCAACAGGATGGGCGTCAAAAAAGTTGCCCTCACGTCATCAACTGCCAGTGTTTACACGAATTATGGTGCGCTGCCCGCAGATCATGTCTACACAGCTGAGGATTTCTCACCCAAAGATGTATTGCGAGAGAAACAGAATTGGTACTGTTTGTCGAAGCTCTTGGCTGAGCAGCTTGCATGGAGCATGAGCAAAGAGCCAGACTGTACGTTCCAACTCACTGTTCTGACGCCAACATTGATTTGGGGTCCAATGATACCTGGTCAGCCGCATATGAACACATCTGCCAACAGCCTTGTTGGATACATGGATGGAAGTCTGAAGGTGATAGAGAACGCTTGTAAGACTGTCGTGGACGTCCGTGATGTCGCGCAAGCTCACATAGAGGCTGTCCGCCGTGATGTAGCGGGAAAACGATTCCTTTTGATCGGGGGCTCCCCACACTTCAAAGATGTGGCTCAGCATATCCGGGCCGCCTTGCCAGAAGACTTGAGGAGCAACGTGCCTTCTGAGCTGTCAACCGAGCTCGGGCCAGCTGTGATGGGCCCCGCACCTCCCCTTCCTGTGCTTTATGATGTTTCGCCTGCAGAAAAGCTCCTAAACATAAGCTTCAAGCCGGCCAAGGAGCAGGTGGAATCAATGGTACAATCCATGCTGCAGAATGGCTTTCAACGTGCTGACCAGTATGTGCCAGACAGCTAGACGGGCGACCCAGGAAAAGCTGCACCCCGTGCCTTCATGCCGTGTAGTTCTTTGTAGAAAGTCTTGTCATGCAGCTCTTCCAGGTTTGGCCTCTACAAAGGAGCTGCGGCCAACTATGTGCGCTTTGGACCGTACCCATGCCTGTATGCTATGTGGTCCGTCTGTCAATGGCATTCACCATGCTTCGAAAGGTATTGCACTCTGACATTCGTCTTTCTGGAACAGCTCCGCCTTGCGTGCGCCAAGCTTAAATGCTGACACCAAGATGGTGTGTCTTCGCGTGTTTGCCAGGTGGGACCGCAGGTTCGCTGAGAATTGAGCAGCGCTGTGCATATGGCCCGGATCTGAAAAGAACCTTTGAGGGCTGTTTTCCAGCCCTAGCGAAGACTACGGGTGTTTTGAGAGCTGCAAAGCTCACTCTCGGCACAGCAGACCTTGCTTTGCATCAAGAATTCTCCATGCAGATGCGCAAAACAGCATTATCCTGCGTGACTTTTCTTGCACATTTGTGGCCACATGCGCTGCCTGGGGAAGATTGTTCTTAGTTTGGCATGGAGGTTTTGGAATGCTGGGCTGGCTCAAGACAGATCCAGGGCTGCCTGAACCTGAGCCCACTACGCATTATCTTTTTTGCTTAGCCCTAAGTACTGGTTCAACATGCTGGGCCATTATCGATGTCCGCACCTGAATGATACAAAAGAGGAGATTGCAAGCCAGTACAGTCAAACGTCGTAATTTGGAGTGGAATTGTCAATGGCAGCGGAAAGGACGCTCGTGGGTCTGTGAATGGAACATGTTCGTGCTGCTTGCAAGGCTTCTCCCTTGCGGGATTTCTCTAATTGTCTGCTTTGGGCTCAGAGTGGGATCTAGCTGCTTCTCATGATGTCCCATCTTGAAACCTGGTGAAGCCACCACCCTGGCCTCTTGCTTGAAAGCAAACAGCCTGTATGGACCTCAGAACAGAATGAAGTGCCTGCAAGATGCACTTTGCAGAACACCTGTCAAACAAGCACCTCCACATACCTCAACCTTTTGTGTTTGCGTGCTTTTCAGCTTCAAGGATGCTGCCTCCAAACAACGTACTGGAGGACGCGTCCGCTTCGGTTGGCATGACGCAGGCAATGGCAATATAGCCATGGGCCAGTGCGGCTGCAGCCGAAGTGATTCAGCACCAGCTGGCAGAAGCTCCAGAAGAGATGACTATGCAGAGTCGGCTTTGCTGAACGAGTCAAGAAGATTCATTCTGGAGAGAACCAAAGCCAAACGTGGACCGCAAGGGATAGAATTGGGATGGTTGAACTTCATGGTCAAGAAGCTGTGGCCAAAACTCAGCATGGCCTGTACGGCAATCATCAAAGAAGAGCTGCAGCCAAAGCTGCAAGCGGCTGTTCCTGCAGTTCTGAGTGGCATTTATTTCAAGAAGCTGGACTTTGGGGATGAGCATCCTTTGCTTGGCCCAGTGGGTGTTGCACATGGCAAGCAGAACCAGTATGATGGGCTTGAGCTTGACGTAAAGCTGGTCTGGAAGTGCAATGCTGAGGTGGTCTTGGAAGTCCAAGGCATTGAGATTGGCTTGGAGAAGATTCGCATCGACGGCACCGTCCGACTGCAACTCCGGCCGCTTCTGCACCATTTCCCGACCATGGGAGGTCTTCAGATCACCATGATGTCACCGCCAAACCTCAACTGGAGCTTCCGTGGGCTGCTAGGTGCCCTGCAGCTTGAGGTTCTTTCGCGCGTGATGCGGCAAGTAGTGGCAGACCAGATCTCTGAGCTCCTGGTGGTCCCCAATCTGCTGTTCGTCCACTGGATGGAATCCTCTGACGACATAGACCTGGAAGTCTTGCAATTTCCGCATCCTGAGTGCATCGTGCGTCTATGTATCAGAGAGGCTCGAAACCTTAGAGGCTCTGACTGGAACTACTTCGGATTCAAGGGCACTTCAGATCCATATGCTCCTTGCACGAATGTTTGACTGAAGCGATACATGCTTTTGGGTTTTGTTTTTACCCGTGCTTTTGCTTACAAGGTTGCTTTCTGACCTTGTCACCTCATCTGAAGGTCTCAGTTCACTTGGGCTCACGTCTCTGGCATACGCCACAGAAATCACGGACTCGGAACCCCAGGTGGGGAGACGCAGGCTGGCAAGATTTGCAAGATGCCATCCCCAGTTCAACATGCTGCTAGGAGGATTTGACGTACCCTCAGGCTGCCAGGACTTCTTGGTGTACACCCCGAGCCAGTTCGTGAAGGTCGATGTCTATGATGCCGACATTGGACCAGGCCAACTCCTAGCAAATTGAAGGTCATTCAAACCAAGGCTTGTGGGTTCCAGCCCCCGACAAGGTACAGATGACCACCTTGGCCACGTTGCGGGCCTCAAGGTGGAAGATTTGCTCAATTCGCCCAACCAGTGGCCCAAGCCTTAGAAGGGGAGACGGGAATCGGGCTCGTCATGGCGCTTGGTGAGGTGGCCCCTATCCGGACGCAAAGTCAGAGAGACTCAGTCTGGGGTTGCTGCCGAAGACCCGTCGTATGGGGAGGCAAAACTCAAGTTCTCAGCAAGTAAAAATGTGAAGACATTGGACTTATTAGACCATTTTCCAGGTGTACATCCAGACGCGATTCTTCGAGCTGAGGCTGCGGTGTAAAATGTCAGCTTGACAATGTGCCATCAAGTGCGTCCACCACGGTAGGATGCACAGACAGAACATTCCGCAGCCGATGGGCAAAGCCAGAGCCTCACTGTTCAATATGGTTGCGTGATGTTGCGTGTAGCTGACAGTAGACGATGCATTTCAAGATTGTCTTGGCGCATACAACTGCCAGTTTGTTTAGCAGACAGCCATGGGATGAACTTCTCACAATTTGTTACAGCTGGGGCCGTCTGACCTCTGCCACAGGCGGATGCCGAAGCGTTTGTCTTCATCGATTTGCGGAGCTTGCGCGGCTTACAGCAAAAGCAGGTTCCCCTTGGGTCATAGCAGTCAGAAGGATGTACCGAAGGATGTAATGAGCTGTTGCCTCAGGCCAACGGAGCAACCATCACTTTCAAGCTTGAGGGGAACTCTCATAAGAGTAGAGGTGCCGCATACAAGGCCTGCGGTGTTTGCTCATGCTCAACCCTTTTGATGCTTGCACCTGTGGAGGCGACAACCTACGGTTCTGCGCTCACTGCGTCAGCGCAGAGACTTGTGGAACACCTCCAGAACTCCCAGGCAACGTTAGAACTTTGTGTGTGTAAGCATTGGCCTGTTACAGTGTGATGTGCACCAAGCGAGTCCGAGAGCTGATTCGCAGGGCAAGTCTGTTGACGAAATAATGAAGATTTCTGGTCTCAGCAAGGAGCAGGCGGATAGCAAGTCTTGCCTCATGCTTTGTGCGATCCAACATGATGGCATCCTATGGCATCTGACAAGTATGATTGGTGACGCCGGGGGCAGTAAATCATCCTTCTCGGACAGGTCTCCTCAGTGGTTCAAGCTAGACCCTCCTTCACCACGTCCACATCCAAGCAAGATTGCTATACTGTTCTTCCTGTGGCCAGCATTCTCCTCTCAGCAGTCGAGGCGATGGCACCAGCCCTTTTCCTTGCCAATCAGAGATTTGGACAACGCCTGCATCTCATGAGCAAAGACCACTGATATCAAAAATGATTTCGTTTTGTGAACAACCTCCGACCGCCGCTCGAAGGCGCGGTTGGACATCTCGCTTGGGATTCGCCGTCTGATCCCCGGAGATCTCCGTAGTTTGAAAGATCCTTGCGGCACCGAAATTCGGTTGCCTCCCAGGTCCCTACCACAAGGTTCTGGCAGTGCTCAAGAGGCCCATTCGCCTCAAGGACTCCGCTGCTGCAGCATGATTGGTTTCTGATTCAAGACTCCTTATCATCAGAGCCAAAACAGGAGCTGGTGGACAATGGTAAGTGGTGTGGTGCTCGGAGGTCGGAACGCAAGTAGCCTGACAGTCTTCGACATCCGCCAGGCAGCTGGACAAAGCGCTTGTCCTGGAGCCGGATGGCAAGCCCGAAGGTCGCCAGCAAGAGCACCAGCACCAACAGCTTCTATGGTCAGCCCGTGGGATCAGAAGCTTGAGCGAGCGCAGGTGCCAGTCTGGTGCTGGGTCCTCGGTTTCCTCATATGTTGGCAATGTGTTGGCATAGTCAGACTCAAGATTTCTACGCTTAAGGCATGAGACTCTCGAGCTCAGCTTGCGCATAACTTTGCGGTGCTTGTCGCTCTCGACGTCTGAACTGCCTTCCGAACCTGGGAGCACCATTCCTAGTCCTGTCCAGAGCCAGGGTGCCAGCTGATCGTATAGCCGATCTGGATGGCACCCCCATGCTAACGGTTTCACGTGTGCAAGGCGATGTCAGGGTAGATGTGTTGGGACCTGTGGCAAGAATGGGCTTGTGAATAGCATGCCGACGTCAGAGTTGCATGCTGCAGGAGCTGACCAATCATTCTTCATCCGCTACCTCACGTCCAAGACGTGACTTTGTCAGCGGCTCCAATACGTGGAGCTTGTGGCCTTCTGTACACAGTGCCATTCAGACCGCTGCTCCACCCTCTTGTCGCAGAAAGGTTGCAGAATGACTGGCATGATGATGGCTTCGTTTTTGTGTTGTGGCCTCTGTGGAGCAGAGATCAACACGATGGTCAGGATCTCTCCTTTGAGTTGGAAGAGCCCTCACTGGCCGGAAGGGGAGGCATGGACACATGAGCTTGCTCTGGTCTATGTCAACATGAACGTCCATTGGGTGCCTCTTAACAGGAGGCATTGGTGAAGTGGGCTTCCGATGTAATGGACATAAAAGAGGCAGGTCTCTTGAAACCTGAAGCTCAAACTCACGGCTGGCCCATGAGGTAGTCCTGAAGGAGGAGCATCTCAGACTGACTGCAGAAGCTCGCGTTGAAACAGCATGTTGCACGATCCTTAGCACTGTTGTGCAGATTCAAGCACGGTTTCATGGCGCAGTGTTGAATACTACTATCAACATCCTAGTAATCTTAAGGTGCCGAGCATGCTTTGGCTTCTCAGCTGTCGGAGATGAAGGCAAAGCATTGCTGCATCGGCATTGCTGCTACTCTCGTGCATGTGAACACGTCATCGCAGCAAGGTGCAAGTTGCTTTCTGTTGTCGGTCCAAGCATCATTTTTGAAGCCTAGAAGCCTGCAGTGTTCTTTCGCGTGTTCGCTTTCCATCATGCTGCTCGGCCGACTCGCCGCGGCCCGCTTGAATTTAGATCGAGAGACACAGCAGAGTTTGCCGAGCTCACCGCCACAGCTTGCAATGGTGTTGCGAGGCTGCCAAGAGGATCGGAGCCTCCACATTGGCAACATTTGCCAAGCCCAGCGCGCGAGGCTTTGCAGCACAGGCCACATGTGCATAGACATGCCAAGGGCCGGTAGGAGGTGAACACGCTTTCGCGGGAGGTCACGTCTCCTCGTCCTCTTTCTATCCGTGGCGATGGTGGCTGGATTTGCACTTCAAGACTTGCATGCCCCACGAAACTGCATGGAACTGCGAACAACCATCACTTCCACTCCTCCTAAATTAATCTCAGCTCTAGTCTTACTGCTTGCTGAGGGGTAAAAAGTCTAAGAATCCATGGCTTGATTCCGAACAAAACTAGGTCGAGCGATGCGTCCAACAAAGCCCCTGTCCAGTCTTGGTGGAGAGGGCCTTTGAGGTAGAGTGAGAACCCATCCACTTGCCGGACACCGCCGTTCCAGCACTAAAGTTTGATTGCCAGAGTGAACATCCACCTGGTTGCCGGAGACAACCGCGCCCTACAGTACCAAAGCTGTATACTAAAAAAAATCACCCGGTCCCAGACCAGAAGCAATCTTTGGGCACGTGCTGCTTGATTACGAAGCAACGGTTAAATACCTTAAGTGCTACCTTGCTGAAAAAAAGTGCTACCTTGACAATGCCTTAAACAACTTTTGGACAAAGACCGCAACTGGCGCGTGTACAGAAGCTCAGTTGGGAGCGCGTGGCAGCCTCAACAACTCTTTAACCCCTTCGAGATCAGATTCATCAATATTGGTCTGTCTCCAGAAAATGGTGATCTGACCATCATATCTGATCGAGCTGTTTTGCCGCATCACGTCCGTCATGCTCGTGGTCCTTTGTAAATTGGGGGGCCAAGTACTTAATCCTTTCTGGGGATGCCGCAGCCCCCAACATCGCTGTCGTGTTCGCTGCGCATTTTCTGGTCCAGGTTAGGGGCCTGCAAGCTGTCTTGCGCTGCATCGTGAACATGCTGCAGGCTGCCTCGGCTGTGAAGGCAAAGATTGCAAAAGCCAAAAGTAAAAGCTCAACATAGCATTCGGAGCGACCTTTTGAGTCAGAGTCACACTACTGGCACAGCAACATCAGCATCGGAGAGTGTCTCATGGTAGCATCAGAGACAATGTCCCATGGTGGCGATTGTCCAGCAAAGTTTCAGGGAACGTCCAACGGCTGTGTCCCAAATGTGCCAGGAAGGTTGAAGGATGTTTGAGGAGGGGACGCAGGAGTGGAGAGGCTGGGAAGGGGTGGAACAGGGAGGTGCAGGGCCGGCCCGGCCGAATTTGAGGGGCCCAAGGATGAGTCCGAAAGCCAAAGAACTTTAGGTGGTTTGGGTGGCTTTGCATAGTCTGAGTGATGGGTGGTGCGGGTTTCAGGGTTGCATTTAGAGGTGGAAGAAGGGAGGGGTGGAACTTGCAGGGTGGAAGGTGAAAGAACAGTGGAGGAGGGTACAACGTGGAGGGGTGGCGGAATGCAGACTTGGAGGAGGGACGTGAGTGCCAGGCCTGAGACTGAGCGGCCCAGGCGCCAAGGGCGTCGGCGGATTAGCTGAGAGATGATCACAAACACTGTATGCACCTTGCATTTGCAGAAGTGTATCCATGCCCATCCGATGTCAGTTAGGACTGTAGGGCGAGTTCATCAGCGCATCAGTGGGTGCGGCAGTTGCAATCGAAGGAGCAAGTATTAGCATGCGGAGCACAGCTCTGGGAGCAGTAGGAGCATGAGTAGAGGCAGCTGAAGCAATAGCAATGGAGGACTTTTTGCATCCTGTTCTGCCACTGAGGTCTGATGTTTCAGTGCGTAACGGCGGCGTTGCTTGGCTGTGACTGTTCAACCTGTGTAGCTGTTTAGAGGACCGCAGGCAGTTGTAGGGTGGTGTCTTATAACGGACTGAGGCTGATCTACTTTGTGCCTCAAGATGCCGTGTTCCTGGGGGGGCTCTTTTACCTGTGGCACAACACCGCTACATCCATCAGTCCCAAGGCACTTGCTTTGTACAGGATCCTTGTGTTTCTGTAATATCATGGCAGGTGTTTGTAAAGCCAGGTCAAGCAGGCTGATGCGGATGCTGCGGTTGAAGAGTTCAAGGCAGTGCATACTTGCAGCCGGCAGCACAAACTATCGTGTAGTGGTGTCTCAAAGCGTATTGTGGGTAGTCGTCTTGGCCGTGCCTTGGAGGCCAAGAAGGGTATCGAGGACATCAAGGTCTCAAAGGCCTGAGACCCAAAAGCGGCATTAATCATTGCAGACTGTCTGCAGATTTGGCATCAGTAGTGACAGCAGCACAAGCTGAACATGCTGAAGTCGTCAGGGACGCAGCACTTGGACGGTCTCCTTCTGAAGCTCGCTGCTGTGCGGACGTGCGGCAACTTGTCCAAGAGATTCAGAGCTTGCAGCACAGCACTCGAGCTGTGCAGGGATCAAAAGGATTTGCTCCCTGCGCTTCAGGCGCAGCAGCTCAAAGCATGGCCTTGGTATTGCTATGCCGTGAACTGGTGACATGCTGCAGACGTGTCAAGATGTGTGAAGACAAGACATGACCTTCGCTTTACGCTAGCCAAGAGAAAAGGGTGCGCTCAGCATTCCATCAGAAGCAGCCGGCAAATGATTTTTCCACAACTTTTGTTGACGGACTTGCCTCCTCTGAGGGTTGTGCAGAGGCAGCAGCACAGTCTTCGCTCGCAAGAGCAGCCAGCCTTAAGGACGAGGCCCACCACCCACGACCAACGTGTCTGGTTGCCTGGAGCTGCTTCTGACAGTCAGGCCTTGCAGCAGCTGTCTAGGACAGAGAAGCGACGGCACGAGGAGGCCAACGAAAGCCCATGATGCCTTGAAAATCAAACATCTCCGTGAAACATCTCTGGTTTTGAGGTGCGAGGCTTGCTGGAAGCAGAAGCCAGCCTGCGCAGACATATGCAAGAAGTAGGCATCTAAGCACACGACTCTCCTCTTTCCACTTGCTGTGGCATTCGTCTGCCGGTACCTTGCGTCTGATAATGTGAGTCATCCTCAGGCTGAGGTGACCTCGGCAGCTGGGCTGCATTGAATCTTTACATCTTCAGGGCATGGCGGCATGGCATCAGCTTTCGAGCTCTGAGATTGGGAACAAAGACTGAGGACGCGTCTTTGGCTGAGCTTCGGACCCAACATTCTCAAGCTGAGCGTTGGAAGCCCGGATGTCCCACGCTTCTGTGTGCAGCCGCTGCATTCTAGTTCTCTAGGTCGAGTTGCGAGGGAATTCGAAGAGTACGACGTTGGCTGCTGAACTTCATGCTAACTTCAAGAAAGCAGTAAAGCATCTCAGAGCGGCATTCCAAGCACGATCTAGTTGCCTTCTTCAGGCGGCTTTAATGATGCGGTCAAAGGCAGCCGAGGCGAGCAACTTGCTCCTGCAGTGCAGCTGCGTGCTCGAGCGATTGCATGAAGATGTAAGATGTGTTCTTTTGGTGCTTGTACCCTGGAAAGGAACTCCTTGCGGCTGCAGAGAAGGAAATGAGTTTGACAAGAATGTGCGCGCGCAACACCTAGACTATGGCTTGTGCCTATGGCTTTCCTGTTCGAGAAGCTGTGTTGAAGAGCTGCCAAGGTTGCATGGACTCCGTGGCGAAGCGCTGGAGGTGAATGGTCCAAACATATGACAAAGGCATGTGAAACCATATTGCCCAGGCCCGCCTGGACGTATCTCGCAAGCTAATGGTGGAGGCTTGCCAGGCCTTGGTCCTCTTTCTCTATCCAGGCCTCCGGTGCTGTTATAAAAAGCCTGAGACCAGGCGCACGAAGCAGCAGACAGACGAGAGGTCCGTTACCAAGTAAGGTCAGAAGATGTGTTGACATTTGTGTTTTATTTTTTTGTGCATGTTTCAGCTGAATCTGAGGTTGTGGCAGCACTGGCCAGATCAGAGGCCAGAGGGGCGGAAGAGCTTGCAGTCCAACAGGCAGCCATTACCTTACCTGGACACCAAGCGCTAACGCCGCGTCGTGCTTGCCTTCTAAGGCATCTCAGGGCCTTGTTGAAAGTCAGCTTCTGCGGCAGGGTGCTGCGGAGCGGGCTGAGTCGGGACCCCAACCCATAAATTTTCCAGGGCATGTACCATGTAGCTTTATTCAAGGCAACTTGCGGCAGAAGAAGCATCTGTGAAGGCCAGCATCCAAGCCATGCTTTTAGCACTCTTTGACTTGATGCTTCGTTATTTGCGCCGTGCAGGCACGGGCCGATGCCGCTGTAGACAGTGCCGAGCGCGAGACAAAGGCTCATAGTTGACGATTAATTCGCCGCTAACGCGAGATCGCCTCGGCAAAGGTAGTCGACGCAAAGGTAGCCGAAAACACTGCTAATGAATTGCAAGCTGCACGTGAGCNNCCCCCCCCCCCCCTCCCACCACCCGCCTAGATACCCGAAAAAAAGAGCCGATCGTACCCCTGAATCGTGCGCACTGGGAGGGGGTAAGGGTGTGGGTTAACTTACTGTTCCAACAGCCCTAGATCTAAATGCCCCAGGCCTCCCGGCTCCGCGGATTTCTGTTTTTTGGACGCAGTGAGAGCGGTTGCGAGGCGTTGCGTGACGGAGCCATGCCAGGCACTCAGTGCACGGTCGCTGGATGAGCAGACGCATTGCGTTAGTTCTTGCCAAAAACTGGATCTCACCTTACAGTATCTGTTTGAACTTGTTGCTGTTGCATGCTGTCCCATCTCAGGCAGCGATGTGCGACATCAGAGCACCAGGCCACATCTACGGTATTGAGCCCGAGTGTGAGGTCCTGTGATTCTGCCCGTGCAGGCTGAGGATTTCATCAAAAAAGCACTCGAAGGTCATCCCGGCAAAGCAATGTTTCTGAGCTGGAAACGAATCCACCGGAGGTTTGGCGCGCAAAGCCTCTGCCCTTGAGTCTGCTGAGGCTGGTTCAGTGCGTAGAGCTTGTAGTCATGATGCTATGACTTGAACCAATTGCAACTGAACCCTGCCTGTTGAAGTCCGAAGGCAGAAGCAGCCAGCATCTGAGCCTTTCTGCTCTGGGTGTGTCTACATTGCAGCACCGACTGGTTCTTCTGAGGCAACCGCCTGGGAGACCGAGCAAGCCAACATCAGCGTGCTGTGGGACGCGCAGAACCTCGAGGCTGTTTCATTGGACTGCATGAGGCTCTTGTGAGAAGGAGAATGAGTCTCCTGAAGGTTCAGGAAGCCTTAGAAGGCGCAGCGGCTGCAGCTGCTACAGGTGAGGAGCTTGCCCTGGCCTAAGATGAAAGCCGGTCTCGTCTTGACGATCATAAAAAGCTGCTTGGGAGGCCAGAGAGCTTGGGGAGGAGCTCCGCGAAAAGCTGAAAGTTATTCGTGCAGAGGAGAAGCATGTGCAGTACGAATGCGAGAAGGCGCTTGGCCTGTCGTCCATGCTGGATCCACGCGAGCCTTCGTTGTGTCAGGCCGTCGAGGCTGTGCAGAGCAAGGGGAATTGCCAAGAGCAGGACGCACTTCATACAAGCTTCAACACTGCAGTGCTATTCCAGGTAGCATGACTCGCTGTCCCAGTGAGGGTTTTTTTATTTCAACTTCTCAGTTTTGATTGCTGGAGAAGATTGCTTGGCCAGAACAGGTGTATCTTCAGCCAACCCTCAACTTGTCCCTGCGTCACGAGTGTTGCAGGAGGATATGCACCGGCTTCGATCAGCTGAGTGCTCTGAGAGTGAACTTCTTGCTGAAAGGTCAGGCACTTAGTTGTGCGGCTGCGGCATCTACACTGTTGTTTGTTGTATTGCCGCTTGGATAAGCTAAGGTTGCACGTTGAAGAAGAGGTTCTGTCCTACGAAGTCACAGAGGAAGAGGCACCACGCCATTTGTCAGGAATATGAGGCGTCTCAAGCCAAAAGCATGAAAGGCAGCCAGCATGCTTCGGGATCGCCTGCAGCTGCACATCAGTGAAGCAGCAGAGCGATGCAAAGAGCTGACGGACAGCACCTCAGCGGCGCAGCCCTCAAGATGTGCATAATTTATTTCAGGTCTCTCTTGCATGAAAAGCAGTGCAATGTTAAGTTGGTCTTGGCCACAGAGCCAAGCTACTAGCCCTGCCGAGCTGTGGAATCATGAGGCGCTACAGCAGCTGAACGATCTGACACAGCTGGCTGAGCAGAAAGCCCAAGAAGTTCAAGAAGCTGCTGAAGAGGTCTGCTGCATTTTTTTCTCGGGGCATACTTGCAGCTGAAGTGACTCTCGCAGGACGAAGAAATGCAAAGGCAGGCGATTCATCAGCACAAGGCATCGGCAGAGGCAGCGACTTCTAGGTTGAGATAAACGTCGCCCTTCTGGCTTCATCGGTAAAATCTCAGGCCGCTGAAAAACTGCAGCACTTGCGATGCCGGGTTTTGCAGGAGGAGGCCTTGAGAGTCAGAAGCTTCTAGGTCTGTTGAGCGTTGCCGGCTCCTAGCATCCAGCACTTATGCTCCAGGTTTTAGCTGCAAAGCTTCAAGCGGAGCAGAGAATGGCGCGTGATGAATGTCTCGCAAGTGAAGAGGAACAAGCAGTGGACACCTCATCCTTTTGCCTCCAACTGTGCCTTCAGCACTGTTTGTCTAGACGCCTTTACGGATTTCAGGCCGCTGCCGAAGCAGACGAGTACAAGCGTGCCATTTGGGAAGAGATTGCTGCTGATGAGCTCCAGGTGCCCCTCAACTTGCAACCAATGCCGATGCGGATATTTTCGGATTCACCGCAGGCTGAGCAACTCCTCTCCCCCCTGATTGCAGAAGATTTGGCTCTCGAGCTGAGGGCTCAGGCCCGGAACTGGGCCGAAGGAAGGCAATGAAAACAGATTGTCAGTCCAGTGGACTTTGCAGAGGAGCTTTCTGACAAGGCCGCTGAGTTGAAGGCCTGTGTATGAGTTTGGGACAACTTCTTGCTTGGATGATCTTGGATGGAGGGGCTGCCTTGAGGATTCGGCTCAAGCATGGTATGCTATGTGCGTGGCTGATTAGCTCTGGGCTGCTGGCCATGGTTCCTGATGGCTAGGCTAGGTGAATTTGACTTTGTCATAACAGCACGCAGGGGCCGCATGGGCATTGTGGTGCGAGAGAGTCCGGACACCACAAGCAATAAAGGGGCACTCTAACACATCCATGAACAGAGTGGTTTCTAGGAAGACCGGCCTGGTCTTGCATGAGATGCAGTTGTGCACTTTCTAAGTTGCCCTGATGCTTCATGTTTGCCAAGAACTTGCTGCCTTCTCACAAATTCAGCTTTTGGACTTTTTAAGAGGTTAGACTTGCTGCCTAACGCATGCTAGGCGCAGCCGTGCAGCCCTCTCCTCAATCGCAGCTGCCGCTGTTGGGAAGCTGAGTTGGTCATGCACCTAGCATTTGTGAACGATGATCGGTGTGTTCAGACTTTGGTAGGGATGCGCGCTTGCTTCTCATGGTGTTCTTGTACTGTGCATGGGTGACAGCAGAGTGTAACGTATTGCTTCTTTTTCATTAGAGCTTGTGTTGCCTTAGTTTCAATCCGTCAGCTCGCAGGCCAAGTGGGTTGTCGGCCAACGAAGAGCTGAGGTATGCAGAGTTATGCAGAGTTGTGTGGTAATGCCTTTTCACTCTTGACTGTCAGAGCGCAACTCGGAACAGGCGGCCGAAGGAGGTGTCTGGACTTTCGACAGATCTGCCGCCATCCGCAGGTGCAGGACATTTTGGTTTCAACTGCGCTTTACTCCTAGATTCAGCCGTGCTGGCAGCCGTCAGGTAGTAGACCAACGACCTGCTCTTGCACCCTGTCGCCGTCGCAAAGCCGAAGCGGTCAATGTCTGCTGGCAAACATGGCTTCAAAGGCCGCAACTATAGGAGTGGATCTTGCGTGTTCTTCAGCAGCAATTCTTTGCACGTTTGCACTCACACTTTTTTTGTAGGCTTTTGAGTTGCTGAGTCCGTCAGCAAGCCAGCGCTCAGGTTACTGGGCTAACAGCGTAAGGCCGCAGAAGCGTGTGGGCCATCGAGGAGCCTGCTACTTCTGTCCCTGTGCAGGCCGCACGCCCTGCGGGGGAGCCCTTTCCTGCGCCCACCTGTGTCAGCTGCACTTTGGCACTTGGAGATTGCCCTTCATGAAGGAGGCAGGTGCGGGTGAAATCCTGCTTTGCCGCATGCTCTGCTCACGCCTGCAACAGACGATCCGCTGCAATTGAGATGAGTGCCACTGCAAGTCAAGCCACTTCACCAAACCCAGTCAACATGCTTGAGAGATGCTGCCGCCTCACTGCGTTGTGCTGCAAGCGGATTGCGTGGAACCCTCCAACAAATTCTAAGGTGAGCAGTGCACGCCTTCTTGACCATACTTGAAATACGTTGCCATGCTGCGCAGTCAGAGGCTGGGCGGCATGAGACGAAGTGTAAGCTGCAGGTCTCGAGAAGGAAGATGGCGGCGAGCATGTCAACATTCAGGCAGCATTGCGAGGCTTGCTGCTGGCACGGTTCATGTCATAGCATGTTTTGTGTCTGGCTTTTCTTCCTTACCCACTCTCGAGTTGCACGTCATCCTTATGCAGGTGCTCATGATCGACGTCTGCTGACTGCTATTGGTTTGTTCTATGAGAGTGCAGTGAAAAGTTGAAGGAAGGGACAGTCGGTACCTCGCAAGGCATGCTGGAGCTGAGTATTACCTGCCAGCGGGACGGTCAGATCATATCCAGCGGCACTGCATGGTGTGCACCGTTGCTGCACCGATTCCTGCTCTGATGGTCCATTGGAGGCTGCCTACAATCAGATTCAGCGGAAACATTGTGTTTTCTTGCTTCAGGTAGCGAGCAAAACTGCGCCTCCCTTTGATGGAGTTGTTGTTCCCCCACTACCGCTGCTCGGCTGATCAATGGCCACGCTGTTCCTTGGCTTTTTAGCTACCACGAAGTTAAACGCGCTTAGCAGTCATGCTCAGGCTTTCACCGTCTCAGGCAGATGCAGGCCGTTTGCGGTGGAAGGCATGGCGGCTCGGGAACGCGCATTCTGTCAGGGAGTTGCATTGTGCAGGCAGTGCAGCAGCGTCATGCGGGGCAAAGACCTCGCCTCGTGCGTGCAGCAGACGCTGAGGCAAGCTGCAAGGCTTCTATTTTTTGTTTGTCTGTTTCTTTGTTCTTGACTTGGCAGGCTGGCACCGTAGTCGAAGTTTCGGCATATTCAGAGTTTGATGTTGCGTCTGCTGTGCCTCTGGCGCAGATCACAGGAGTGACATCTACAACGGCATTGTCGGCATGTGATGTATTTGATTGACGCGCATCTTGGATCCTGACAGGAGCCATTGGCAAGCAGGCGATCACCATCATGCCGCAAACATGCCATTGTGCAGATATTGGACCGATGATCGCGCAGGTGGTATCTTGATTGGCATGAGTGAAGCCAATGGGCGTGTTTCTGCCAATGTCGGGGCTGCCAAGCGCGCCAGTCAGGAATAAGTCGCACCTTCAGCCGAGGTCTCAGCAGTGCAACGGCACCTTTCGGAAATAACTGGAACATCCGCACAGGCAGTTATTATGAATCATAGGCTGTGCAGATTGTAGCGACCTACCCGACCTCACTCCACGTGTTATTGCAAATCGTGCCTAAATGGCACTTTTCCAGGGCGTGGTAAGATGAAAGTTTAGCTGACTTTCATTTCCCCTTCCCTTGAAGGTGATATCTTTGGAAATTTGGCCATCACAAATGCGTCCAAAGACTCAGCTCGAGGTATGGTTTTGCACCGCACCTTACGAGCAAAGCGAAAGCTTTTGGACATCCTGATTTGTGTCTTCTTTACTTGGATTGAACCATGGTGTGGCATGTGTGCGCTGCAGTGCACCTCCTGTGGCATCTAAGGAAAGTTGTGGGGCGGACAGCTTTCGAACTTGGGTAACTGGATGGTGCCAGAAAGAGCCGCTGTTGCGGATGAGGATCACAAGCCAGCGGAGTGGTGAACAAAACAAGCATTCTGTAGCACGCGTTCTTCCACATTCAATTGCACAAAGTACAACAAAAGCTTATGCCTGCCATGTCTCACAGGCGGAATCCAGCGTGTTGGAAATGTCTCGCTACAAAGAGGACTGCAGGGCTGGACGAAACTGCATAAGATGTGCGACCTGATGTGACAAAACAGGAGGAAGTATCGCAACAGCTTCACAATGCTGTTGACGAGGTCTGCTGCGCTGCCGGTCAAAGCTTTGAATGACTGATCTCATGTCTGGCTTGCAATTGGACAAACTGCGAGGGGCCACCCTTTCCTGAGGTTCGTGCTGCGGTGCAAGCAGCAGTGCATGGGTGTGAAGCAAGGAAAGCCCAAGCACACGAAAGCAGCCTCGAGCTGCAGGCATATGGGCAGGTTGCAGAGCTTTTGCCAGTGTGCTCTTTTGCAAAGTGTCAGGTTGCAGCTGAGCAAAAGCAGGACCCTGTCGTTTCAATTCGACGCAAGTCACACTGACCAGAACATGGTTCGAGGAGGCGAGGAGTTTGGCAGCTGCTGGCCGCCTCTCGGGGGCCGAGTTCCGTGTGGCGGGGTTCCCATCAAACGACCTCCCAGCAAGTTGCAAGACCTTGTGCAATGCAGGAAGCAGCAGCAAGGCGTTCGTTGGAGGCTGAAGAGTTGGATTCTAAGCAATGAGGGAGTCTGTTGCAACTACAGCTGGCATGCTACCGCTATGCCATGCTATGCCAAGGTCCAGCTGTATCGCCAGGCTGCAGTATGAGCAGGAGATCTCAGAGATGCGTCAGCACGGTGAGAAGGAGGACTTGTGTTGGAGTGGATTTTGAGAATCTTGTGATCTTTCGAAAGCTGAAACTGTGCAGGAGGCAGAGACCCTCCGACGTGTGCTTGCTGCGGAAGAGGCTTTGGCAAACTCCATGCGATGGCGCTTATCTCAGACGGTAGATTCCCCAACGCTCATGCTGCCGCAAATGGTTGAAGACTTGGTCGTGGAAGGTCTGGCCAGAACCATCAGCTTGGATTGGAGCTCTTTGGTGTCATTCAGGCCAGCTCGGCTTGGTGTTGGGTGGGTTGCTTCCATTTCGTTATTTTCGTTCCTACTGGGGGAGTCTTATCATCGTAGTGACCTGGGATCCAGCACGCATGCCCATCTGCACAGATGTCAGAAAACACAAGCCCCAGCACCGAGGTGCGTTGTTGCCAGAGTGGGGGGTTGTCAGCTACAGACATAGATTCATATGATGTTGCAACACAGTCCTCGTTTTCACCTTATCCTGGCCGTGCCAGCTTGTGCCAGACTTCGCCGGCCTCCAGTGGTGCAGATGGGGGCCAAGAGGCCATCACCCTTCTCCACGTGCGATAGGTCACTTTGCCAATCGTTGGAAATGAGACGGATTCTGCAAGGCTGGATGACCTTTGGCAAGACCCACATTTCAAGAGGATTCGGGTTGGTCAAAACAAATGCAACTAGAGATAGGAGCAACTTCAGGTCATGGGTTGGTACACGTAATTTCAGATGCTACCTGGAGGACCAGCTTGAGGCAGATGAGCTTCAATTCGTGCATGTGTTGGCTGATGGCCTGAAGCTTTGGTGTCTGCTCCAAGTGTCAGTCACAGATGGCCTGTAATTTTGTAAGTGTTGCATAACAAGGCAATGCCAGTATGTTTCGTGCCAGCCGCAAATGCGTTGTTGCTGAAGCAGACAGAGCTCAGCGCCTTGGAAAGGGATGAAGCCCAAACCCAGATGCCTTACCGGGTCGCAACGAGAAGCGGACCCTCCGAATTCAGAGGGATCTTGACATATGGCGCAGTGGCTTATTGCACTGCAGCGATGTCTTTACAGGCGACGTCAACCCGACGTGCGTTGAATAACCTCCTCTCCACTGCGTGCATGCAGCAGCAAACAGTCCGCACATGCTATTGGGTTGTTTGCGGAGCGATCAATCTTTCTGTTTCCATTCCTTTTGCGGACTGAGTTGGAGAGGTCAATGCCCTGCATGACTATCTGATCATGCATCTGCCCTTGCCTTCGAAACTGTAGCTTTTGCTCAGAGTACTGACATGGAAGTTTCCTACATGGACAAACCCGCCACGGAGACCCTAGCAGAGTCTTCCTGATCCCAGCACCCCAATTTTTTCTGACATTGTTGTCGGGTTGTTGTTGATAACAGTCCATAGCCAACCTGCGACAAAAAACGCTTTCTGCCCCGATTTTCCGAGCCGTCGGCTTTGCATGTGCGGACGTTGCAACACATGTCAGAGGCCGCAGTCAAGCGGCCAACGATGTCATGCGCAAATGCGTTGGGGTTTGCTCTGAGAAGGGCTGCACGCACCTTGCAGGCAGAAGACACAACACCGGAAGTGGGTTACCTCGACGGCAATGCGCCCAAGGCAGGGCTTGCGCTACAATTGCTGATTCTGCTCTGGGTTGTATTTGCTCAGAGCAGCGCCAGGTAATCAACAATGACAGCATTTACCTCATGCTAGGCCAGGAAATGCCTGGGATTAGAAACGCTCAGTGCAAAATATCCAGATCCGTATTATGCAGCGCACCATAGGCCGTGTAGGCGGCACAAGCCCCAGCCTTTGAGCAATGCAGCGCCGCTTGAACTGGCATTTATGCAGATGTAGTTTGAAAGCATTTGCCTCTTTGGTGTCGAGCCGTCTTGTGTCACTTCGGAGATGAGGGGCTGATCTTTAAGTCGGACCCGGGGCCTGGGGGTTCACAGGAGTCACAGTTGAGCATTTGATCTAAACTCCAATGAAGTGTGGGATTCCCGGGAGATTTCCTGAGCAGCAAGCTGGAACGGCTTGTCCAAATTGACGCCTTGTTTTGAAGTTTGTGTCGGGTTCCTGGAGAATGTTGGTTGTGTGCAGCTGACAAAGACGGTTCCCTACTACGTCCCATCTCCATACCTGACACGTGCGCAGTCTTGGATGACGAGCCGCTTCTGCACTCCTGAGCGCTCTCTCTTGTTGAAGGTCTTCTCACCATCAACTACTCCAAACCCCATTGTGCTGTCTCGTTTGGGTACAATCTCTCGTTCTATAACATGCCGCGGTGCTGGAAGACATGCGGAGCTTGCACCCACAACCCTGGTGCAATCCAACTGCGGCAGCAGGACTGGCTGTTGCAATCGCCATGGGCTGTGCGACGCTCAATGAATGATATGCAGGGGCTTTTGCCATCATGTTGCTGAAGCTAAGGGATATTGGACAAATCGTCGACTTTCAAGCGCTTCAACGTGGCGTGTCTCAGCACCCGAGTGGTGCAGCTGACGTGCAGACTCAACCTTGGCTGGCTGAGGCAAAGAACCGAGAGCCTTTCTGGGCCTGAGGCTTAGAGAAACGCAAGGAAATCAAACTCTCTTGTGGGATGCAAGTAGAGGAGGTCTAGAATACCTGTGGTTCCCGATCGATCTCCCATGAAATCACAGGATTCACGGAGTCAGCATCGTGAGCGTTTTCACTATGTTTCGTCAATTATGAACAAGGCGTGTCAATCACCCTTAGTACTGCCACCCATCCGATCAAGCATCATATTCCGCAAGGTGCTTGGATGCTCAACATCAGCAGCATGGCAAGTACCGTTGTGTCATCAGTTTGTGCTTTCTTTCTCGTCTTCAATCTGCCCCTGCCCGTGCTGAGTGGCATTTTCTTTTGAAGCATTTGAAAATTTGTCATTGTCGCTATCCGCGGCTTGGCAGTCATCGTCGTGATTATGCTGGTCATGAGCGTCGTCTTGACATCATCATCATCGTCATCATCATCAGTGTTGTTGTCATCGTTCTTTTACTCTTGGTCATCACTTTCGTTGTCATCGCCACGGCTGTAACGCGTTGGAGCACTTACTTTGACAGGGTTCGTGGAATTCGTGTATCATATTTCTTATAACCACCCAGCACCCTACCATCATTTGACACCTTCTGTGTATTACAATTTTGGCCTGCGCCCTGTTGCATCAGTCTTATCTCTTTCCCTCTCTTTTCCTCATCATTTTTTGTTGCTAGTTGCAGGCCATCTGCTGCAAGCCATGGTGAGGTTCTTCTTGCTTTTGTTCTCGAGCAGTGATGCAAGTGTGCTCATGTGTTTTCCTGGTCTGTGACTCAAAGGTGCTGCTGCTCGTTTTGGTCAGCTATGGGTACCTAATCCCAGGCCAAGCAGAGCCATCACTGTACGAGTCTTCTGTTGTCAGTGCCAGCCAGGATTAGTGGAAGTTCTCTTTAGCTTCAATCTTGTCTTTGATACTGGGTCTGGCGCACGGAGCTCGGATCTCCCAACAGTATTTTGCGTGCAAAAGCTGCAAAGTACTTAATGCTTCAGGGATTCTTCGGCATTGGACCTGGAGCTGGATTCAACGACGCGCTGATCACTTAGTCCAGCGCATGGCTGAGCAGGCTACGACATTGCACGGCTGTTCAGGCCGCCAACCACAGAAACCATGCTGGGCTGGGAACTTACCTCGCCTGGCTGCAACCTGCTCATGTTTTCGGAGCTGGGCCCGGCAAAGGATTGGTCAAGCTGTTGTGGAGCGGCGACCTGAGCTTCCCACAAGCATGTAAGCAATGCAACGCAATGCCACACAATGCAACTGTGAACACTTGACTTTCCCAGAAACGGGCTCTCCTCTTGGTGCGGTTCTCGTGGTCTTCTATGCTGGGCTCTCATTGTAAGCACATGCGGCTGGGATTTGGCAGAAATGTGTCAGCAGTTGGTACCTTGCGGGAAGGCGATTGCCATTCCTGTGACGAAGCTGCCAGCCACTGAGCCCCAACAGCGAAGCGCTGCTGATGCGATGGCGTAGCTTTCGGGGTTCAGTGATGCAGCTTCACTAGATTGAGTCCGAATTCCGGTTGAGGGTTGGGTCAGAATTCCTGACGGTCTGGGTGAGAGATGCGGGAGCATGAGAACGGAAAATCTCTCTCTCCGACTCTCTTGAGGCTGCTGCTTCTCGTTGGCAACCTGATCCAAAAGGACTTGCCGACTGCCTCGAGAAGGCTCAGCAGCGAAGGCAGACCCAGCAGCCCAAACAGCATATGCAGCGCAGGTGCATACAATGTGTCCAGAACATTTCCAAGTGGGCTTGCCCTGCGGCAGCCCCAGCACGGGAGTTCCCAGCTTAGGGGCAAATGCCTGAAGCATCCAGGACATGTTTGCCTACATCCTGCTAATGCATCTTGTGAAATGCGCGTGACCCAGCTTAGAAGCCCAAACTGTCTGTGCTGCAAGCTCGACCTGTGCCAAGCATTGGCCCGACCGCCATACCTGGTGGCAAATGGAAGACTTGATCTCGGCTTTACATGCTTCAGTCTCTTTTGCAGCAGCCTTGGAATTGCTTCCACAGTTCAGCTCTGTGTGATTTCCATGAGAAGCTCGAAGCTGAGTCAGGTCTTGGCTCCACCATTGCGAGCTCTGCTCAGTGCTTTCCTGGTGCTTCGAGCATTTTCGAACCATTTCGATCCAGTCATTGCGCTGTTTTGCTTAGGGCACTGGGCATCCGCGTTCCAGATCGCGAGCATGGATGTGCGTAACACAGATATGCTTGAAAGGCAACACGAAACTGTTTCCACTCAAAACCTTCTCTCAGGCTTCCAGCAACTGGGTGGATCCGGCATGTATTGCTATTGCCCATGCTGTTCCTTGCCTCTGAGAGTTGTGATGGCAGGCAAGGTGCTGACTCCCAAGCGGCTTCTGCTGGTCATGCCCATGGAGTGCATGTCCAGTTGCAACGCAGTGGAAATCTCGAGATGTGCCGCAGGGGGTCAGTGTCCTCTTCGTACTGTTCGCTGTGCCATTCTTCTGGGGCCTCAATCAGACAGTCATGGTGCGGCCTTGGATGAAACCTGTAGATTGGATTGCAGTTTGGCTGCATGCCAGGGTCTAAAAGTGGGCAAGCTGGACCCTATGATTGAGATGACGGCTCCAGACTCAGATGTGTTTGCATGCACTAGTGTACTCCTTCTTTGCCCTCTCGGCCGACAAGCGAGAAGAATCGTAGCGCAGACTATGTCTCTGGTCTGAGTTGTCTTGGGTGGGCCTGACGCGGGAGAAGCTGAAGTCGGACGTCAGTGTCATGCCGTGGCCTTGGCTGCGTGAATTTCTTCTGTCCGACTGATGCATTCCCACTCCAAGTGCCAGCGTGCCTTAGAGCCTCAGCGACCCAGATGTGAACGGAAACTCAGGGCCAGGCGGGCCAAGTGCCAATACTCCGAACAGTTCAGACTTTGAAATGTGGAGCAGAGCAAGAGGAGCCCTCTTGCTCCCAGCAGCGAGATGTGTACATTGACACAAGCGGTACTATCAGCATGGCACGCTTTGACCCTGCAAGCGTTTGGGCATCCGCAAAGTCACTGTTGGGCACTGTGCCTTGACAGAAGTGCAGAGTCACTTTGCTGGAGGGCAGTGGAGAGGGCCTGATTGTTGTGCATGGACAGTTTGCTGCCCGTGAATATCGTAGTGCTTTTGCCTTGCAACACACAAGAGTTAGATAGGACCCAGCAATCAAATAATCCATCTATCCATCCATCCGTCCGTCCATCCACCAATCAATCAATCAATCAATCAATCAATCAACCGAGCACTCCATCGATCTGCTGCTTAAAGACAAGCTTCGGCCGAGGAACTGTTTGGCTGGACTTGCCCTTGAGATCTCTCATGGCGAGGCTGTGCGTTCTGCCTACTGCAGAGTGGAGGGGGTACAAAGGAGACCGACGTTGAAGCCGGCTGGCAGGTCAACAGCCTCATTGGCTTTCTCATGTGTGCGCCTTGAATGTTCACGACTCCTGAAATGTTTGTGGTCAAAGGCTTTTTGGATCTACATAACAACCGTGCCCTGCAAGGTTTTCCGTATTCGTGATTGGGATGACATTGCTGGACATGCTGGTGCTGGGCTTATAGGTCAAGTCGGGGGTTAAGTCAATCCGTACTGTGTGAAGTCCTTAGGCAGGTATTTTTTGGGGGATTCCCACCACGGCCATAGTGTACTTGGGGATGGCTGCTTCAGAGTATGCTTGCAGCAGCATTCGTGCCTGTGATGTTTTCCACTTGTCAAGTGTTTGTAGCTGTCGGGTTTCCTCTCAAGGCAAAGCTGCCACCAGTGAGATTTTCCTTTTGTCAAGCGTCTGTAGCTGTCGGGTTCCTCTTAAGGCAAAGCTGCATCAACATTTGCTACAGCGGGACTTTCAAACTCTGGCTGCATGTACTGTTCTGAAAAAGGGATGGATGATTGATGTCTTGACCAGCCTCACGGACTTCGCGCTTCTTTGCTTGGACAACATGCGGCGCCATGAAATGGAAATAGTGATCAAGAGTAATAACGTTTTAGGGACATCCCAAAGAATGAGCGAGATCGCTCTGGGGCTAGGGATTGCAAGTCATCCATAGATCGGGAATTTGGGAGCGCGAGCTCCTGGTGATTGGCACGGAAAAACTAGATGAAATGAGGTGTGTCCGGTCCCTTCCACCACTGCTCACTTGCCATGCGACACTTTATGTAGTTGGCTTGGGAAAGTTCCTGGCGTCACTTTACCTGGCCGTCTGACTTCGCTCTAATCCCGCGTGTGCACGGGGAGGCGTGACTTCAGGTGGTTTGGCGTTGAGCCACCGTAAGTATGTCTTGGGCACCGTTCACGGCTGAACAGCTCCAGGTCCTGCTGTGGATCTCCATCGCTGCTTGGAGAGGCCGCCCTGCGACTCGCGATGAGCTTAATGGCTCGGTGACGGATCAGTGTGGAATCCCCATGTTTGCGATTGCATATCCGCATAGACCTTGCAGTGGAGGCAGCACGATGTAGGACGTCTGTCCGCTGATGATTGTGGGGACCTGTGACCTCTGCATCTTTCGGTTCACAGGGCCTCCTTGATAGGAGATCCCTTCAAAGCCTCAGGCCGAGACTTGGCCAAGAAGGGGAGGCAGACATTTCCGAAGCGCAAGTTTAGCGGTTGTTCAGTATGCAGGTAAGTTTGGGATCAGGTAGGTGGGGGCCACGAACCGAACCGGTGGGATTCAGACATTGCGAGACACAGAAAATCCATGGGACTTAGAGACTTTAGTGGTCCGCTATGGTAGGGCGACAAGTCGGTGCTTGTCTTTTGAGTGCTGCAAGGGTGGCATCCAAGGAATGTAGTTCTTCCGTCACTTTCCCTGTGCGGGACAAGTGCGAGGCTTAGTTTTTCAATGTCTGCTGTAAACCGTTGGATGCTGGTATCAGAAGCTAGATGCCAAGAAGAACCCAGACATAATAGAGTCTTGCAAGGATCTCGATGTCTCGACGCTGTCTCATCTTGCTCTTGACATGGTTTTCTTTGGGATCAACAACGCGACTTGCGGCATCTCCTCCGGCGCAACTGAAGGAAATCCTGCAGCTACTGCAGACAATGAAGGAAAAGGTCCTTTCAGAAGGGAAGCAGCAGTCAGAGCTTTTTGACAAGTTTCAGTGCTACTGCAAAAGCAATACGGCAGCCCTCTCCGGAAACATTGAAGCAGCTCACAGGCTAATTCAGCCAATGAGATCTGTGGCTTGCCAAGCACAGCATCCTTGGGTTTTGTTCTTGCTGTTTTAGAGCGTTTTACAGCGCAAAACGGTTTTGGGGAAACTTGGCCGTGTCCCCAGGAAATCAGTGAGATTGATGGCCAGAGCAGTAGCTTAGATGCAGAACTCCGACAGCTCAAGCGCGACGAGCAGTCTGTTCTGGACGGCGCGCAAGAAGCGCGTCAGCTTCGACAGCGTGCTAGTTGCCTGGCAAACTGATAGTTCAACTCGAGAGACAAAAGTCTGCCCCGACGGTATTTCTTTTGTGTTGAACTTTGTCTAATGCCTTAACCATGGTTCAACTTTGCTAGGTGACGAGAACAAGGCGAGAGCCAAAGAGCTTTCACAGCACATCACGCTGATGGATGACGCAATCCGCCGAATTCTGGCGGGAGGCTCTGGAACTTCAGGCTTTATTCAAGAGCTCCGGCAGCAGGTTCAGGAGAGTCGGGCAGCTCTGAACGATGGGCGCCTTAGTCACCGGGCAAGGCTTGACGACATTCGCGGCGACCCAAGCGCTGCTCTGGGAACACTCAGAAAGCTGAGGACAGACATTCAGGAGGACTACCAAGGAATCCTCCAGTCTGAGAAGCAGTCGGCTGCCGAATTCATGGATTTGGAGATGTCAAAGCAGAGAGAGCGACGGTCCCTCCAGCAGCAAGTACAGCAAAAGGGAAGCCAGCTAAGCGATCTGAAGATTCGACTGGTGCAGCTAAAAAAGGATCTCGAGCAGACAGACCAGCAGCTTCAAGAAGATCAGCAGACTCTCAGCGACTTGAAAGACACATGTCAGCATAAGAGCAACGAATGGCAGAAGACGGAAGCCAGCCGCGATGATGAACTGGCCGCCATTGCCGAGACGCAGACCTTGCTGGGTGGCCCGGTCGACGGGATTGAGAACAGCCCGAATGCTGGGGTGTTGGGGCTCGTGGACTTGAGTTTGAAGGTTAACAGTCTCAGCCTGCTCCAGCTTCGGGCCCAAGCCTCAGCAAAAGACTCCCAGACCACTGCAGGCACAGGGTTTCTTTGGCTGGCAATGCAGGGGAGCAGGAAGGGCCTGGAGAAAGTGGTAGCTCAAATTGACAAGTTTGTATCCAACTTGGAGAAGGAGGAATCTGCTGAGACACAGAAAAAGCTCTACTGCCAGATGCAGTACAAGAGCCTTTCTCAGAAGGCCGCTGAACTCAGCTCAAAGCATGAGGAGGGAGACTCCATGCAAAGACGCCCGTCTGTGCAGTTTGTCCATCAAGCTCGGTAACGCTGGAGCTAGCCTGCACCTCATACTAAGGAGAGATGTCTGAACGGCAGGAGGCCGTTCAACAGGAGTTAAAGCAGGAGATGGACGCACTCCAGGCTAGCTGTGTTGGTAGATCTCTGGTAAATTGAGTGCATGCTGTCTGGTGTAGGTGAGCTTTTTTGGAAGTTCTCTAAACTGCAAGGCGTTGGAGACATCGAAGCAGCAGGCAGAAAGTCTTCGGAAACAGGAGACGGCAGAGTTCAAGACATTCAAAAGAAGTGCCCTGGAAACAAAGGACCAAGTGGCCTAGCCCTTTTGTAGAGGTGCCAGACTGCAGTCCAAACAAATGCAGGCCTGCTTCACCCTACTTCCTCAGGACTTGCTGCAAAAAGCCATCATGCGGCTAAGAGCAACTTATGCGAAGCCGAAGCTCCAAACCCTTCTTCGCAAGGCCCACATGTGATGATTCCCCGTCTCGTATATGCATCAAAGACTCATACAGCTTTCAGTGCTTTGGGCTTAGACTTCAACATTTCGTGGCACTCATTCGCCCTGCTAGGCATCTCGCGTCCACCGGGCACTCCCAGGCAGACCACCTGCAGTTGAGTTTGCGTCTTCCAGTGGGAAGTCCATGTCCAAGCAGGTTGCACCCTCAGGCCTTGAGTGAGGAACTTGTGTCATGATGCCGGCAATTCCGATGCCTAGGTCATTACGTTGCTTCAGCGTTTGGCGAAAGACCTTGACGATGAGGTTGCGGAAGCAGAGGCAGCAGAAGAGCGGGGCGAGCTGGAACATCAGAAATTCTTGAAGGAGTTTCTGGTGCAAGCTCTTGTGTCTGCTTGTTCGAGCTGTCCACAAGCTAGGTCTAGCAGTAAAGTCTGGCAGGATGCTGCGAAGCGAAGGTCACTGCAAATGTCACTCTTACTTTCAAAGCGCGAAGCGAAGGCCTGGCTTTGCATGAGCGCTCTAGCAAAAGTCACGGGTGGACTTTGGTTGCTTGCTTAACTCCCAAATGACCTGAAATTCATTGTTAATGTACATTCGTCGTAGAAGAATTGCAGGTAAGTGCTTTTCCATTCAAAATGGATCTTGGATTGCTTGCAATGGTTGCAAGACCTCCGCAGTTCCAGCGGTTTTCAGGTGTGGGCGCAGCCTGCGCCTCTTGAGGTTGAGGGGCATACGCACCTCCCTTGTGTGACCCACGCGCAGATGAAAAAAAACCCATAAGCGGGAAAAAAACCATAAATGTTCAGGGCTACTGGGGTTAAATCTAATGGGACTAGGGCAAGTTTTGATTTCTGAAAAAATCGGTGT